AAAAAAGAGAAAGGGGCTTCAAGGGCGGCCCGGAGAACGAGCAGTCACGCTTGCTGCCTTCGGGACACATTGCCGAGAGCTTCGTCACTTTGCCTTTCTTATCATCTCTTCATCTGCGTGAAAACTATCTCACTGGTTCTATTGAAGTTCCTAACTCCTCTAGCTCATCTAGGCTCGAGTTCATGTACCTTGGGAATAACCATTTTGAAGGACAGATCCTAGAGCCTATCTCAAAGCTCATCAACCTCAAGGAGCTCGACATTTCTTTCCTAAACACAAGCTACCCAATTGACTTAAACCTCTTCTCCTCTCTCAAATCTTTGGTGAGGCTTGTTCTTTCCGGTAACAGTTTATTGGCTACTAGTATAAGTTCAGATTCCAAGATCCCACTGAACTTGGAGGATTTGGTCTTGTTGAGTTGTGGTCTCATTGAGTTCCCAACCATCTTAAAGAACCTTAAGAAATTGGAGTATATAGACCTTTCCAACAATAAAATAAAAGGGAAAGTCCCTGAGTGGTTGTGGAACCTTCCTCGTCTGGGCAGAGTGAATCTTTTAAACAATTTGTTCACTGATTTAGAAGGTTCGGCGGAAGTTTTACTGAATTCATCGGTGAGGTTTTTAGATTTGGGTTATAACCATTTTAGAGGACCATTTCCAAAACCACCACTCTCTATCAACCTCTTATCTGCATGGAACAATAGTTTCACAGGAAACATACCTCTTGAAACCTGCAACCGAAGCTCTCTTGCTGTTCTTGACCTATCCTACAACAACTTAACTGGTCCAATTCCTCGTTGTTTGAGTAATTTCCAAGAGTCTCTCATTGTAGTGAACCTCCGGAAGAACAACTTGGAAGGAAGTCTTCCAGATATATTCTCTGATGGTGCCTTGCTTCGGACACTTGACGTTGGCTACAATCAACTAACCGGGAAGCTTCAAGGTCTCTTCTGAATTGCTCTATGCTAAGGTATGTAAGCGTAGACCACAACAGAATCAAAGACACATTTCCTTTCTGGCTTAAGGCTTTACCTGATTTACAAGCTCTTACCCTCCGTTCAAACAATTTCCATGGCCCTATCTATACTCCTGATCGAGGTCCTCTTGCGTTTCCCAAGCTGCGCATACTTGAAATAGCAGATAACAACCTTATAGGAAGCTTGCCACCAAATTACTTTGTGAATTGGGAAGCATCATCACTCCACATGAATGAAGATGGGAGAATCTATATGGGTGACTACAACAATCCTTACTATATATATGAAGATACAGTGGATTTGCAATACAAAGGTCTATTCATGGAGCAAGGAAAGGTCCTTACTTCCTATGCCACCATTGATTTTTCTGGGAACAAACTTGAAGGACAGATTCCCGAATCCATTGGTCATTTGAAGGCATTGATTGCACTCAACTTATCAAACAACGCATTCACAGGCCATATTCCTCCATCTTTGGCAAACGTGACAGAGCTGGAGTCACTAGACCTCTCAAGAAACCAACTGTCCGGGAATATTCCTAAAGGACTCGGGAGCCTCTCGTTTTTGGCGTACATAAGTGTGGCCCACAACCAACTCACAGGTGAAATACCGCAAGGGACACAAATCACTGGGCAATCTAAATCCTCCTTTGAAGGGAATGCAGGGCTTTGTGGTCTTCCTTTGGAGGAGACTTGCTTTGGGAGTAATGCGCCACCAACACAACAGCCTAAGGAAGAAGACGAAGAAGAGGAACAAGTGTTAAACTGGAAAGCAATGCTTATAGGGTATGGGCCTGGACTGCTGTTCGGGTTGGTAATAGCACACGTTATTGCTTCATACAAGCCGAAGTGGTCGGAGAAGCGCAAGGAAGTCAATCCAGTTAGATTGTTTATGACTTTGGATTCAAGATGGGATAGTTTTAATAATAAAAATAACGTAGAACAAAAAAGTGATATGTAAATGTAGTATGTGGATATATTGTTACCTGATGTAAGAAAGAGGTTTTACTAGTTAGTTTCTGTAACTTTTGGTTCCCTTAAATAAGATCTCTGTTTGGCTGATAATGTCCTGATGTATGTCTTGATATATTGGTTGAGAAAGAGGCTTATGATATACTGTTTTGGTTCTTCTCTAATTCTTGAACTAACTCGAGCTGAAATTTCTTTATAACGCACGACGTCATCTTCCAGCATCCTGTGAAGACAAACTGGATCAAATAAACATAAGAGAGTCAGAGTAAGAGAGTCTCCAGAATTCAATCTCAGACCATACATTCATGAGATCCCTCATTCCAGTGCAAATGGCACCACCCACCACTGATACTAATCAGTTTAATGTGAATAAGAAAAAAAATTGTATCATTATAGGACTTACCAAATACAAATTTACAATAATCTGCTTAACAGTTTTAACTAATTTTCTCAGATAACAATGAAATATCATGAGAACTCTATCAATTATAACTGAAACTAATCCTTACAGATCAAACTCCAATCTCATGGATTGGTTAAAAGGTTACAAACCAAGTTCTTCATTATAAAGCACTAAGACTACCAAATTAATGCCGTTTATTTTATGTTACGGCCACATTAACCCCTAAACCCTAGAATCAAGCTCACTAAATTGATTTCGTTTCATGACTCGGTCAAAACTAATTTGACCCTTGAGATTTTTTTTGGTGTTCTTAACTAAAGCAGCGTTTGAATAAAACAAGGAGAATTAATTAGCAAACCCCAAAAAAAGGAAAGAGCAATTATTCTTGCTCGTGAAATCACGAGAAAATATGCGAAAATGAAATCACCTGAAGCTCCTTGATTTCGGATTCCTCCACCAAAACTTCGACGAGAGTGACGGTGATCGCAATGGCTCCGCCGTTGTCAAGTCAAAATCTCTTTCTCGACTTGTTTAAACTAAATCTAACTATCCGGTTCATTAAACTATGCATACCGGTTTAATATAAATCGAAATGCAGTCTTGGTCTAAACTGGTTTACTTACTGCTGGTTTAGTTTAATGATGGGTCTAATTGTAAACGCGTTTTTCAAAAATTTCCAACACATTCATCGTTGTTCAATCTTATTATATAAAGTAGGTTTTCAAAGTTAATAACTCGCATGATCGTGATATGTGTCAAGTCTATCGATCAGATGTTGACAGATGTTCACATGTGTCAAAAAATATTTAACTTTTTTCATTCACGAAATAAGAAAACAAAAAAAAAAGAATATTTACATATACTAGTTTATATATCCAATTTTCAAAATTTGTTAACTTAATTTTTCTTAACCAAAAAGGAAAACTAATTAACAATTTCTCTTTACATGTGTTATTGGTCAATTAGATTTGGCATGTGTTAATTGTTTTTTTTTTATCATTTAGTATGGATATTAACAAATAAACAATAACCGTTGAAGTTTTAAATAACAATATAAGTTATTTAACATTCATTTAATTGGATAAAATTGTATTTATCATCGTAATATAGTGTTTTTATTCGTCAAATGAAAACACAAAATTTTTACAAAAAATAATGAGCTTATAAGAACGAACGAATATTTGAATATTTGATAAGAAAATTAGAGTTGTTATACTTAATTTTATTTTAAGAATTTTAACGCAAGTAGTTATAATTATAAACACAAAATATTTGGGAAAATGGCTTATATGATTGAATTTTCGATTACTTAATGAGAATGTTAATATATGTAATTTTAATGATTTATTTATTAATGTTAACTCATTTAAAATTTGTTTGCCATGAGGTAAAACTAACTTATGAGATTACTTTATATAGAAAAACTATACTTTAAACAATGTTTGTTTTTCATAACTTTTGTGAATTTTTACTTTTAATTTAAAGGGAAATTGTTAAAAATACTCCTTTTGGTGTGCCCCTTTTCAAAAATATCTTTTTTAGATGTCTATTTTCAAAAATGCCCCTTTTTAAATCTGAAATTTTTATAAAGTTTTATTAGGTTTATAAGGTACTTATTTATTGTAACTACTACTTGAAGACTCGATCCAAGTATTAATAAGGTTTTATAAGGTGTTTTTAAAGGTTTTACAAGTTATTTTAAAAGATTTTTAAGGTTTTTCAAAGGTTTTACAAGATATTTTAAAGGTTTTTAAAGGTATTTAAAATGCATTTATAAGGTATTTATAAAGTATTTATAAGATTTTAGATACATAGAAATGTAGTTTGTGTATGTTTTAATAATATTACATACATATTTGGGTAAATCTTATATTTTTAAGAGTATTTTTTATAAGGTTTTAAAAAAGGGGTATTTTTGAAAAGTGGCATTGAAAAAGTGGCATTTTTGCAAAAGTCCCTAATTTAAATGTTTCGTTATTTGTTAATTATATTTAAATTTTTAATATTAACTAAGATATAGATTTGATATGAAATACATACGATTTTGATACAAAATTATTATTAGCAGTTTATACATTAAGATGAACTATGAAGATTTAAAATCAAGTTTATTATGATGCTATAGATAGTTAAATTATATTGCAAAATGGAATGTGTAAGATTAAAATTTCGTTTAAAAAAAAATACTAAATTTATATAAAAAGTGTGTCGGTTACTATTTAGGATTTAAATATCATCAATACGAAAGAATGTGTAGAATTAAAATTCAGTTTATTACGATGAAATAAATAGTTAAAATGTATAGAAAAATAGAATGCGTAAGATTTAATTTTTGCTTAAAACAAAAAAATACTAAATAATTAAATATTAGGGAAAATGAATGGATTACTATTTAGAGAAAATTAGCATCAATACCACATTTTCTTCAAATTCTTTCAAATCTACCACTTCTCCCCTCCACTTTTCAAATCTATCATATTGTTAAACAAAATGACCAATTTACCCTCAAATCTATTTTTCTTACATTATACTATTATATTATTTCTTTATTTTGTTTTATTTTTTTCTCTATCTTTCTTCTTCTCTCTTTCTTTCTCTCTCTAAATATATTACACCTATCTTTCTTATTTTCCCTTGAATCATAGAATTAAAATAATTTCCCAAAAGGCAAATAAACGATCTGAACTTGTCCCCGATCTACTATTACTCATTCGATTGGAACTTGTCCCCGATCCAATTTTACTACTTATTCAATCTGAACTTGTCCTCGATATAATTCTATTACTCATTCGATTGGAACTTGTCCCCGATCTAATTTTACTACTTATTCAATCTAAACTTGTCCTCGATAAAGTGGTATTATTGATAGTTTTCCCTAATAATGATGAGTAATATCTTTATCGACGACAAATTCAGATAGAATGAGTGATAGAATTATATCGAGAACAATGTTCTCTTTATATAATCCTTTTTAAATTCAACACTATGTTAAATTCGGGGACAGCTGGATATTATGGTTGTCCATCGTCATATTGTATGGTTTTATTCGCCAGAGATCTGGACTTATTCTTGGGGGACATCATTCACTCTATTTCATAACTATTGTCCATGGTAAATGTAAACTGCATTTAATGCAATGTTTTGTCCTTTTTCTCTGACACAAAGCTGTCCTTCTGACACAAAGTTGTCTTTCTTATCTGACACAAAACTGCACATCTTTTAGGGGTAAAATTGTCTATAAAATACCACAAAACATAAAAATGTGGTAGTTTTGGAAAGATCAATTCAATTGTGGTAGATTTGAAAAGGATTTTTCAAAATGTGGTAGATTCAACAAAAATCCCTACTATTTATTATTCAAAATTCAAATATCATCGATAATAGTTTATAGATTACACCCGCCTATTAAATAGGCCTTATCTAGTTAATTATAGGCTATGACTTATTTCATCTGACGATTTCTTTGGAGAAAATAAGCAATTTATTAATTAATAAACACACGAAACATGAAACAAACATACAGGAAAAAAAAAAAAAAAAAGACAAGCTGATGAAGGATCATATGGCATCACACTATTCACGACCCTCCCTTATTTTATTTTTGTTGGTATCACTGAAAAGATGATAAAGACGACCCTCCCTTATTGCATCACACTCACACACATATTGACAAACACGCATCATCAACGAACAGCGTCTATGCAGAGTCAACTCCATAAAAGAAGAGATCACCAAACCGATCATTAGTTTGAGCTTTCCCACCAAGCATCACCAGTCCTTTCTTACCATCAATGGTCCCAGTCGTGGACGCAGACCATCCTCTGATACTTGGAGTCTCTTCCTCTTCACCAAACTTATCCAGCTTCTCCCACTTCAACGTCTCTGTATCAAACGCAAAAGTCCCACCACTCAATTGACCCGGACCCTCGTGAGCTTTTGGGTCCATCGCTATCTCACCTCCAAAGATCAAAAGGTATTTCCCAACAACCGCACTAGCGAACACACTCCTCGCACAAGGCTTCTCACCGAACGTTTCCACTTGTGTCCACTTGTCTTGAACAGGATCGTAGCAATGAACATCATCAACTTCACATCCGTTGAATCCATACACAACCCATACCTTCCCTTGTACCACTTCGAGCCCGGCTCCTCCTCTTATGCTAAAGGAACCTCCCGGGGTCGAACACTGAACCCACTTGTGATCAACGATGTTGTAAGCGTCTAGTGTCTTGAGCCGAACCGTAGCGCTCACTCCACCGAAAACGTAAACGTTTTTCTCATCGGCTGCCATCGAGTGGAAGCTACGAGGAGTGGGTCCTTGTTCGACCGGAGTTAGCAGTTTCCACTCGTTCTTGATCGTATCAAACGAGTAGAAGCCGTTGTATTTTCGTGAAGCGTCTCGGCCTCCAAAGACATAGAGGCTTGATCCAATTGACACCATACGGACGCCTAAGCAAGAGAGGTTTGGAACGTCTCCGGTGGCTGGAGAAATGGACCAAGTCCGGGTCTCGAGGTCGAAGACATAAAGGTGTTTGTCGATGGGCTGATTTGGTGTGAGCTCACCACCAAAGGAGTAAATCTTGTTTCCTACTTGTGCTATGTCATGTGAGCATCTTGGCCCTGGACCCTCTCCTTTTTGCTCCACCTTATAAATAAATCATATTTGTTAGTTAGAGATTTGGATTCTGATTAGTAACATGCATGCATAATAGTGGAATTATTCTGCGATTCTTGCAGATTAGTGAAAATTTT